TCCCTTATCTCTTCTGTCGGACTGCGTGGCTACTTAGCTTATAAAGAACCTGAAACCAGGCTAGCTAAAAGGCAGACTGTCCGAGATAAGGGTGTTTATTGCAGAAAATATATTTTTTTATGATTTATTCTATTGTTTGGTTATGCTATGCAACAGACAAATGCAACAAACATATGCACACACAATTCGAACATCCTCGAACGGGCGAGAAGTCGTTTTAATTACGAGGTAGGGTTTTCCTGCAGAAAAGTGCATTGGCAAAGGTAGGATCTAACTGTTCTCACCAGGCTAAGGCCCCCAAGGTGCCCCCATTATAGGGTCCCCACTCTCCAGCCTTCCGACCATGCTTAGCACTAAGGCCATAGTCAGCCTTTGTGCCAAAAGAGGAAGGTTATCACCTTGAGTGGTGGTTTCCGATCACACCGGTGGGCACAAGGCCATCACTATAGCGAACCATACCTGCCACCCACTCCCTATGGATTTCTCACTTGCCCCCGGGTATAGGGGGAACTGTTGCGTGCAAAGGTTTGTGTATAGTTGGTATTTCAAACAATTGCATAAATATAAACAAACAACAGTTATTAAAGCCAAACAATAAAACATGTTATAATACAAAGGTAGGGTAAAAGTGGTATTTTCTTGATTTATTTATTTTTAAGCTGACCCTCACTAAATGGGATCAACTCTCTAGGCTTTCCCAGTGAAGTCGCCATCTGTCGCCACCGTAAAAAATGAGGGCGGTCGGAGCGACGCGATGGTTTTTCGACTTTCCATTTTTCGCGTTTTGGTGTGGTACAACACCTTTAGGTTGTCCGATAACCGGGTTGAACCTAGAGGCGAGGTTTTCGAAAGGGCGCTCTTGGATTGTCCGATAACCAGGCTAATCCAAGAGCTAGTTTTGGAGGGTTCTGTGGAGTCGCCACCGATGTTTTTACCGGAAACATCAGAAAAGGAGTTAAAAAGGCGTTGGTTTTTGGAAAACCAACTTTGGTCATTAGAACCAGAGTTAGGTAAGGGAGTTAGTTACGCGTAAAGGAAGTATTAGTTCCTTTACGACGCCCCTTTCGGGTTCCCTATGATAGGCTAGCTACTTTGAATAAATAAATCAGAAAATACACTTTTACCCTTTTATTTTGCGGAATTTAAATTATGACTACATGGCCCTAATGTTTATTGCATAAAAATAAAGCTATAAAAGTAGAGAGAGAGAGTATGAACCTCCAAAGCAAGCTTTTCTTATTAATTCCTTCTAAAAATAGGGTGCTTTGTGGCAGCCCTTCATTCTACAGCGTCGGAAACCTCTCGAAACGCTAAAAAAAAACTCTTAGAAATGCTCAGAAACTCCGGAAATGCTTCGGAGGGGTTCTAGAGAGAGAAGTTTAAGTGATTTCTAGAGAGAATGAGGAAGAACTTGTTGGAAATGAGGGGAATAGGGGCCCTATTTATAGGGATTCACGCCTGTCAGGTCGAGACGGGCCGTCTCGTCTAACAAGGTCGAGACGACGATCTCGCCAGTCGAGACGCCGGTCTCGGCTTGCTGGAACGTCGAGACGGCGGTCTCGACAAACGAGACGGCTGTCTTGCCATTCGTGAGTGGTGAGACGGTGGTCTCGTCAAACGAGATGGCGGTCTCGCCATCCGCGCAAGGCGAGACGTCGATCTCGAATTCGAGACGGCGGTCTCGACCTTAAAAGGCAAAAATCCTTATTTTTGGACCAAAAAAACCCTCCTATCCTAGTATGGGGCCTAATAGTCTCTCCTAATGGCTTCTTAGGCTTCGTCCATCTTCGAAAAGGAGGTCTTCTGGTCTTTATTGTTAGGCCGGGCAAGATTTGGGGTCTACAAGGGTTAACTCCTTCACCTGCCAACAAGTCTCATAGGCATATTGAGCCAACAACCAGTTAGCCAGGTGAAGGGGAGGCAGCTGTAGACCCCAAATCTTGCCCAGCTTCACAATAAAGATCAGAAGACTTCCATTCTGAAGATGGGTAAAGCTTCATTGGGCCCCTAGCACCATCAACCAGCTTCTGTTTAAAGAAAGGAGAGTTTTTTGAAGAAATAAAAACTAGAATTTGGGAAAACATTTGGGAAGGCTGTCCCAATTCTTAGACAGTCGTCCCAATTCTCAAACAGCCCTCCCAACCCATTTTTACACTTGGGACGGCCGTCCCACTTCCCAGACGACCGTCCCAACCCATTTTTACACTTGGGACGACCGTCCCAAATACCCAGACGACCATCCCACCTGATAGGGCTTGGGACGGTCATCCCGATGTCCTGACAGCGCCCAACTATAAATAAGGGCCTCATTTGCAGCTTTTACACACATATTCACTTCTCTCTACTCTTCTATACACTTCTAGTACTTAAATGATCTTTTCGATTACCTATAAGGTAACAATCAGTTAAGGAAATCTCTTTCTGAGATATCCGACATTCGATAGTTTAAAACTTTTCTTGTATTCGGGAAAGGAGAGTCCCTGTAGTGCGAGAGGATAGCCAAAAAACATCCTCAGAGTTGAAGATTTCTATAAAAGCTTGCTTCGAAGGTTCTTTTCACTACTCTTCTCTTTTATTGCTTTATTTATTGCTTTCCTATGTGCAATAGAAATAGGATAATGTAGATAATCATCTTAATATCGGGTAATAAAATAGGGTAATAGTGTAATCTCTTATAATCTTTATTTTATGAATTAATCCGTCATAGGGAACCCACAAGAGGCGTCGTGGGGGTGCTAATACCTTCCTCACACGTAACTAACTCCCTTACTCGACTTTGGTTATAATGGCCAAGTTTAGTTTTTCTTAAAATCAACGTTTGTTTTTCCCTTTTCTAATGTTTATGGTGAAAATATTGGTGGCGACTCCATAGAACCTTTTTTACGAAAGCCTTGCTTTTTTAAAGATTAGTTCATTTGATGAGCATCTTGAAAGCGATGATCATTATTTTTTACAAAACACGAGTCTAAACCATCTTATCGCAACCGCTCACATAAACGTTTGTAACGTCCTGAGACGTCAGAACGAACGACAGCAACAGATGCGATTGGAACAAAGTTTCATGTTACATAGATCCATGTTTTTTATTTTCCTAAAGTCTTAGCCTACTTTCCTAAAATAACCTACCCTGAACCCTAGCCCCATTACAAGCCAAGTAAAAGTCCTATTGATCTACGAAGGTATGTGTTCTAATGGTGAAAATTTAGAGATCTTTCAAGCCTATGGTAAAATGTGATGATGAGTGAAATTTTCAGTATAAACACTTCAGAGATTAGAGTAAACACTTTACCACGAGAGAATGTTCCCTTGAAATGAGTCCTGAAATCCTTAAAGAGTACTTGGCCATGATAATACTTTGTGAGTTATGATCTTGATCTTTTTTATTGTCTCACTTTTGTTTGATGAAGTTTTCCTTGACTATTGTAGTTTTCAGGATGTCAATAATGTTTGCAACATTACCCATCTTTGCATTGCATGCATTCTTTTCTTTCTTTTATCTTTTGCTTGGAAGTGCAAAAGAGCAAAAGCAGGGAGTATTTGATGTATGCCATTTTTCTCTTTATTTCTTGATCTAAGAGCATTTTCTAAGCTAGTTATTTTATTCATAAACCATGCATTTAACATGTTTTCATTAAAAGCATAGCATAATTCATTTTTTCTTAATTTGTTGCATTGTTCGTAGTTTATCATAATAAATAATATACATGCATGCATCCACATTGCATATTTATTTTTCTTCTTTTGTAGGAGAGGTAATTTGAGATGGGCCAAATTGATATAAAGAAATGTCCAAATTGATACCGTCAAGCTTCACTCTTCTTGAAAACCCAAGTTTGCTTGCACAGCCCACTTACACAATGTTACAAATGGAATTTTGAATCAAAACAAATTAACTGGTTCGGGAATCCAATTTAGCTGAATTAAAGGTCAGCAGGAATCAAGAATTAAATGCAAATCAGTGCTGGATCACTCAAAATAGGAAAGAAGCAAACTATTTTCTCCAAATCAGTCCCAAAAATTTCTCTTCACAGCAATCAGATCTTATGACAACCCACAATATTTGATTTTATTGTAATTAATTTTAGGCTTAATTTCTCTTGTTCAAACCTCTATAAATAGAGGTCTTATGACAACCCACAATAACAATCTCCTAGCCTGGGGTGAGAATTGTTGTTTTGTCTCGTCCCCATTTTCTTTTCCTACTCTCAGTTCATAGTTTAGTTTTTTTGTTAGGCGAGTTCATCTACTGCTACTGCACTTATGGTTTGTTGTATTTTATTTAATTTGCAATTTCTATTGAATTTTCCAATTTATCTTGTTCCAGTTATTTTATTATTCAATCCTCATTTTAATTTCTGCTATTTAATTTTTTAGAATTTTTATTCCAGTATTGCATAATTTTCATCTTCAATTCGTCTTGTTTCCAATTCCAATTCGCAATTTAGTTTTAGAGTTATCGCTTTCAGAAATTTCAAATTTAATTACTACACTATTTTAATTCAAAGCATTTCTTGATTCTTGTACTTATAATTAAAAACACTTTATTTTAATTTTATAAATTTTAGTTATTTAAATTCTACATCAATTTAATTTTAATTACTGCACTATTTTCTTTTAAAGCAATTTTTTATTTCTGCACTTTTAATTAAAAGCACTTTATTTTAATTTTATAAATTTCAGTTATTTAAATTTTATTTCTGTTTAATTTTAATTATCGTTAATATTCTATAACTATTTGATTTTAATATTTATTATTCTGCATCAATTTATTTCTTTTTCACTCACCCTAGTTACTATTATTTACTGTTTTAAAGAGAATGATATGCGATAATGAGTATGTTCCTATAATTGTGTCGTTGTGAGATTTGACATGGGTTAGCTATACTACATTAGTTTAGCAACTTGTTTATTATTTTTTATCAATATTTTGTGCGACCAAAATGTTGTTATCAATGCACGTTATAGATTGTCTTGGTGCACATTGGTGCTTTTCTTTGTCCATGTCTTGGGGCTTGGCTTTGTACCTATCATGGTGCCTGTCTTGGGGCACGCTTGTTCTAGTCTTGGTCACATTGGCTCTTATCTTCATGCATGTTGGCTCTTGTCTTCATGCACGTTGGTGCTTGTTCTTGTGCATGTTGGTGCTTGTCTAGGTGCCTATTCGTGCTTCTCTTTGTGCTTATCTTGGTGCCTATCTTGGTGCTTAATTGATCCCTCGGTGAATGTTGGTGCTTGTATTGATGCATGTTGCTGCTTTTCTTGGTGCCTATTCCTAGGCACGACAGTGCTTGTCTTGGTGCACATTGGTGCTTGTCTTAGTGTCTGGCACGGTGCATGATGTTGCTTGCCTTAGTTCAAGTTCGTATTTTGTCTTGGTGCACGGTGGTGTTTGTCTTGGTGCACGCTGCAGATTGTCTTAGTGCACACTGGTGCTTGTTTTGGTCCTTGACTTTGTGCACATTTCTTCTAGTCTTGGTCATGTTGGCTCTTGTCTTTATGCACACTGGTGCTTGTTCTTGTGCACATTGGTGCTTGTCTTGGTACACGTTGGTGCTTGTCTTAGTGCCTGGCCCAGTGCATGATGGTGCTTGCCTTTGTCCACGTTCATTTTTGTCTTGGTTCATGGTGGTGTTTGTCTTGGTGCACATTGTAGATTGTCTTGGTGCACATTAGTACCTGTCTTGGTGCTTTATTTTGTCCCTATCCCAGTAACTGTTCTGGTGCATGTTTGTTTTAGTGTTGGTCAATGTAACACCCCTTTCGAGATGCCACGTGTAAATTTTTTTTTCCACAACTATTTTATCTCAAATAACACTTGATAAAAGATTTATCCTAAACATTTTTATTCGTCAAAATAAAATTTTGTTCATCCAAACAACTAACTTGAACCATCAAAATGAGACTCAATATCAAATCTTTCCAGTACAAACTCAAAATCACTACACTATTACGTTATATTCAAAAGGACATTTTCAAATATCTAAAAGAAACTCCCAAAAATCTTCCCCTCGTGAGCTCCTCACCGCTAAGCTTCTCTAACAGTATCTGCATCAACATCTACTCTCGCATAACATAAGTCATACGATCATAGCAGGTGGAAACCAACACCATAAACATGCAAGGGTGAGCAAAACATGTATCCCATCACATATCATGCATGTCATCATATAATTCACTTAACATTATCATAATGTAATAAAACTCATTCATAATATCCAAAATTACATATTTTCAACACTACAACAATAACACTTTATCATATTACCACAAAGTAAAAATAGACATTATAAAATTCTCTCATAGCCAACCCCCATACTTTTCCTGCTACCAATGCCTCTTGGAAAAGTCCCTATCATATTACCATCAAGTAAAAACAAAAGGTATAAAATTCTCTCATAGCCAACCCCCATACATTTCCTGCGCACCAACGCCTCTTGGAAAAGTCATTTCCCCTGATTTCCATAGACTCACAAGCAACAATTTCACCCTCTCAACAAAGTCTTGGATGGAACACTCTTGCTAAGCTCATGCTAAAGACTTACTGAGGAACAAAACCCCTTTACCATGACTCGACAAAGTCCTCTAGGTAAAGAAATCATTCTGTATTTACGGCTATCAAAGAACTCATATTGTTCCCTCACCTATATACACACATATGCATACAACATCTCATCGCATATCAAACATACCTAGACTCATCATGTAATTACATCATATCACAATTCAAGTATTTTTTTTCCTTAAATTTAAGGATTTTAACATATAACTCCCACAAATTCTGAACCAACATAATATAGACATCAGCAACAATAAAATAAAACAGCAACAGAGCAACATGAAATGAAAACAGGAATAACATCGTTTTGAAGATTCCACCACCAGGGCAGTACTCAAAGATATATTTTTATAAAATAAAATAGTGGTCATAAAATTACGAAATTAAATGTACTTAACACATATATATATAGTCACAACTACGATAAAAATTTCATCTCAAAACACTTCAATCTCAATTTTATATGATTTTTTGAAGTTTCTGAGCGAACATAGTAACTCTGTTTCGCCCAACCCAAAACCTAATCACTTCCAAGATTTTTCATGGAAAAAATACTTGTTAAAAAATTTTGAAATAAATCACACATGAACTAGACATATGAAGGAATATGTAACGAAAATTTCAGAATTAAAAACCAAGTAGATATTTTTATATAATTTCCCAAAGATTCTATTTACGTATAGATTTTTCCAGCAACACCTCTCAACACATTTTTCATCATCTTCCTCTAGAAAAATCCAATTTAAGTGATTTTTATGGATAACTCTAGGTTTTAGAATCCAAGGAATCTATTTCTAAACTCTAAAATGAAAGAATTAATGGTTGAGTTCAAGAGGGGGGGTGAATTGAACTTTAAAACTTTTTCGCAAAACTTACTTTCTTTTGGAAGAATGAGTTATCTTTATTCAATCTTTGCAAAGGTAACTCGATTTAAACACAGCACAATTAGAGACAGAAAATAAAAGAGATGAAAGAAGAATATTAACACACAAATTTATACTGGTTCACTCTAATCCAGAGCTACATCCAGTTCTTGACAAACCAGTCAAGTTCCACTAATACCAAGTGAAAAATACAACCAGTAGATACTCACCAATCTACCCCAAGAACTATCTTGCAAAACCCACAAGACAGAATCTTGAAAACCACCCAGTAACCAAATCCAGTTACTGTACCAAGTGCAGATTACAATCCAACCTGCTCAATCAAACTTTTACAAAAGAATATGAAAAGAAAAAACCTGGACTTGAAGTTTCTAGTTGTCCAGAACCAATTCTAATAGCACTTTCTCTCTTTGATTGACCACAATTTTGATCACAGCACCTTATGATATGAAAAGATTCTTGAATGCAGAGAAAGTCACGTATGAAAGTTTCACAGATTGATTTCACAAATTTTCTCAAGTAGTGTGTTGTATTGTGTATTTCAAAAGATAGATCAATTCTGTATATATAGAGTAAATCAAAAAATCAGAACATTTCATCTGTCAAAAACTGTTTCAGAGAGTCAAAAGATAAGTTGGTTAGCAGTAAAACAGGTTTAGAAGAGACTCTGATCGATTAGAACAGAAGTATGATCGATCAGACTGAGTTATGATCGATCAGAATAAAACTATGATCGATCAGAATGAGTTATGATCGATCAGAATAAAACTATGATCGATCAGAATATATTTCAATCGATTAAAACGTCGATTCAATCGATTGATTTCATTTAAGGCTCCATTTCAATCGATTGATTCGAGTTTTTAATGGATTGAAACAACTTAATGAAAAATGACAGCTCTCTATTTCAATCGATTGAAAATCATTTCAACAGATTGATTTTCTAAAAACTCTTAGACTGAAAAAAGGTCTTTCTGTTTCAACAGATTTAAAAATATTTCAACAGATTGATTTTCTAAAAACTCTTAGACTGAAAAAGGTCTTTCTGTTTCAACAGATTTAAATCATTTCAACAGATTGAAAATGCGAAACTTGATATTGAAAATTCATTGAGTTATTTTAACTTGTTGATTCCGCGAATCAATCAATTGAGTTTTTGATTATGTATGACCATTTATTATGTTAAGTGATTTTAACAGATTGAAAATCCTTTTCAACAGATTGAAAAAAAACTTAGTTTATTCTTTTAATACTTAAACGTAAGTTTTTCATGCAGAAAAATGATTTTCAATGAGATGCAACATTTTAAGGTGCTTATCACAAAATATTATGGCCTATCAAGAGATTAAGTGCTTAGACTTAAAAACCTAATCATCTACACACCCACAACCTAAGTTATATCTATGTCTTCATCAAATCCACCAAGTGCTTCAATCTCCCCCTATTTGATGGAGACAAATAACCACTGCACCTGCAAAACAAAAAATAACAGACCAGAGACATATATTTTGTGGTGTGTGTGTAGTGACAGTTTTAAGCAAAATACTTCTCCCCCTATTTGACTGCATCAAATAGAATGTTTTAGTTACAGTCCAATGGGGCCACATGGATACCCCAAATATAAAACAGAACATTAAAAACTAAGAAAAGAGAACAGAATAACAGAAACATAGAAAATCTTCATTCGTCCCCGGGGCCTTGGTTGAATTGCAGTTCCACAATCCTGTTGTAAATGTCTTCTAGTTGATTATCAATATGCTGGAACCTTGCAATGAAATTTTCATCCAAATAATGCTGCTAGAGCCCTCGGTGCGGCGAGTCATCTCCATATGCCTCCTTTGGTCGGTTTGCGGTTTGCTCATTTGATGTAACATTGTTCTTTCGAAGCGAGACGGAGGCGTGCCACGGTCGAGGCGGTGGATTGTATGGAATCATCTCCATTGGGTTTACTTCTTCTTCCATTGGATCGGAAGGACGTGCTTGCAGAAGTTCCGGGAATATCGGTGTTGATCTCTTCCTCTTGCTCTTCTTCTTCACTTTCTTCACTTCTCCCGAGCATCTTCTTTTGAGATCCATTCACCATCAACTTTAATGAATCCCATTTTGTGAAGCACAGAGTTATTTATTTCATTTGTTGATCGGACGGTTTCAACAAGTTCTCCTTCAACATCGACACCAAAATGTGTTAAAAATTTAGAAATCAGAATAGCATAGGGATACACTGAAGTCACTAAGTCTCTTGGCTTTGATCATGTGATCCTTGATGACAAAGACCCAGTTCACACGTATTCTGTGATGAATGCAGTACATCAGAACTAAATCTCCTTCATTTAGCACCGCATGATTGCTCCCCCTGGGTGTAAGCTGCCAGGAAACGATGAAAGCGAGAATCCTTTCTTCCAGTTTCAACTTCCCGGTGTTGAATGAACTTACGGAATCATGCCTATTCTTCAAGCAAGAGCGGAAATCCTGAACTTTATTAAATTCTTCAACATCCGAAGTACACCCTTTGGTGACTTTCACACCTACATCTTTTATTCCGAGCAACTTCCTTCCGGACATTAGGTGTTATCTCAATGTCTACTCCTTTTACTTGAGTTATTAGAGTGGAACCTTCAAAGGACAAGTTAGTGAAGAAGACTTTAATTAAGTCGGGGTAAATCCTACCATTCAACTCCGAAACGTCTGAAGCTTTTGGTGTTGCGGTAGTTTTCGAATGCCTCTGAATCCTTCGGCATCAAACCAGGAGAACTTTAATATCTTTGGAATGTTGACTTGCTTCCTGCTCAATTCATGGATAAACAAATCCATTTTCTCTTGGTCCCCATTGAACCAAGTTTCAATCCTTCCTCCAACATTCTGTTCTTGCCTTGCCGTAGAGGACTCGCCTCTGCTGGACTTCTTCCTACCGGACTTTGTGCGCTTGAGCATACTTGATCTTTGGGATGAGCGAACGAGAGAAGAACCGAGAAAAGAGAAAGTTCAAAGAAGAAAATAATACTATAGGAATGATAATACACAATCTTTATCGGCTTCAAAAATTTTGTCTTTACTGATTTATTGTTTACGTGCAGTGATGATAAAGAAGAGAGAGAATTGCTACTTGTACACTTTAATTACCCTCTCATCGATATCCAATCGAGTCAATCAACTTTTATTGGATATCTTTGATATTTAAGAGAGTAGTTGAAGTTTATCTTGTTGTAAATGCATTCAATCCACTCTGCAGAAAT